GCGACCTTATATCCAATGCGGGCGTTCTTTTTAGCCTACTTAGGCCCTGAATCGCGCGGCTTAGCAGCCGCACGACATTATTATAGGTAGGATAAGTTTAATTTTAGCATTCCCTTATCCGCACATTCTTGCGGCCTCGACAAAAGCGAAGCATTACCGTTCACATTCGTTACCCCCGAACGCCAACACGCGTCCGGACTAAAATTTGAAAACTCTTAGTTCCTTAGTCATGGGTCAGGTCTAAATAAACTTTTGGCAAATGTCAGTCTCATCAAGTCCTTCAATTCAACGAAAAGGTCAGACAACGTCCGACGTTGAAAAACCCCGGCAAATACCCTTGTCATGGTTTTTGCCCCCACACCGGATCTGAGTGGAGGTCTTCCTTCTTGAGTGCGGACACAGCGGATGGTGGCTCGATGCGCCTACATTCGTGCTTCGGGTGTAACCATTAGTTGTGCTTGCAGATCCTACAAGGGAAGGGATGTGTGCCGGTTTGTAGCGGGAGCCAGCTGCTTCGAGAGAGAGGAACGGGCGAGAGTAGCCGCGACTAGATGAGGAGCAACAAGAGTACCGATAGGTGCAGTACGCAAGGGAGAGAACATCTGCATGGCTGGGGCCGTGTGCACGGCCCTGGGCCATGATGCCTTGCGCCAGACTGCACTCTAGTGAAGCTTCGTCTTCAGAATTTGAGCGTGTGGGTAAACGCTTGCGGTTAGGCATATGCCCTCGAGGTTCAGAGTGCGTTTCCATGGCTTAGCCTGTGGACTTCGAATAGCTGCCTGACTGTACGAGTGCTATTGTGGCTACTAATAAGGGTAAGAGCATGCAGCTGCGTCGCCACTTGCAAGTAATTGAGCCAGACGTTGCCATCGCTGAACCTCGTGACTGTTTATTGTTGATCAACACCTTCCGTTGTATACTCGTCGTGCTTTCAGTGCGTCTCAGTTAAGATGAACTGAGCTCTGTTGCGCTGTGCACTACAACCCTGGTTGTGATTGTCACGCGGGATTTTGCCAGGTGTGGCATTACGATGCCTGTGTTTGATACTACGTATTGGCACGTTGCACTGTTGATGAACGCGTTTGGCACGCGCGTCGTATCAAGGCTAAGACTGGCTACGGTCTCCCCGCACTTTGCATAGGGCACAAGGGAGACGATTGGACTGTGAAAAGGAAGTCTTCATTTCGGACCGGAGGACCGCCAGAGGGTCAATAGTTAGCAGTTTGGCGTTGGCTGACCAAGCTGCTGTGTTTTCTGGCCGCCATTGCGGGGCCCTCAGCCGCGTCAAGGATTCAAGACCCTCTCCTGGGAGTTGAATTTGTCCCCTCCTTGTATCTCGAGAGTCTCAGACCCCCCATTCTATCCTTCTTACTAAGTCTAGTCATGTTCTGAGAGGAAGGCGGCAGGCGGGATTGCAACCCGTAGGACCGCAAAAAGACTCTGTGGGGAGTCAACCCACCGATTGCGGGAGCTCTGCCGGAACTCAGGAGGAGTTCTGGAGGTAGGGAACTGAGAGGTAACCATTGCTTNACCGATTGCGGGAGCTCTGCCGGAACTCAGGAGGAGTTCTGGAGGTAGGGAACTGAGAGGTAACCATTGCTTCCCTTATATAAACCCAACTATAACCTTTATTTGTATTCCTCGATATGTTTTGACTGAATATACGGAGTGCATCCCTACTTTGGCTTTTCAGTTTGACTTTTAGGACACAAACCAGACTAAGTAAAGGAATGATTGTGCAAATTCAGTTTCAGCCTGTGTTGTTTGACTGAAAGCAGATTGTGGGATTGCATCTGGGGGAAGGATGGGAGGAAGGTTATATTGTCTGAGTTTGACTGGGTCAACCAAAGGCTGGGAGAGTCTGCATAAGTTTGGAGGGCCCAGTGCTATGTTTATTTTGGATTGCCTGAAGGACCAGACAGGTTCCCATAAGTTTGGGTGGTCTGACTTGCGAGGGCTGACTGTGATTGACTTTTCAGGGACCAAGCATGTTCCATAAGTTTGG